ATTTACTTAATGGTGTATATTAAAACATGACAAACCTTGTTGTTAAAACCCCATATCAGTTGGGCATGGTGGCTCACACCTGTAATCCTAGCACTCAGGAGGTTGAAGCAGGAGGATAATAAGGAGTTTGAGGCCAGTTTGAGCTACATAATACAACACTGTCTCAAAAAATAAAAAAGAAAGAAAAAAAACCTGTGCCAAATATTCTTCTTGACATGCATACTCCAAGTGCTGCCTGAAAGCGAGGAATAAGCATCATCATGATTTACAGCTAAGCATACTGCGGCCCACAGAGGCTATAAGGAGCAGGCTAAAATGTCAGATCAGACTGGCCTAATCTAAAGTCTGCTTTGGATTCTGCATCTACCCTCCCTACTTCTGAGTACATTTTTAGAACATGAGACATAGCTTATATTTTCTATAAATAATATTATCAACTTTACTGAAAGGAATATGAGCAAAAATGACCAAGGAATCAGGATTGTTTACTTCTTCAATATTCCATAAGCAGCACCACATTCTGATGGCATGACAGTGTGCTGCTCAAATCAGCAACACAACTCAGGCCTTGTCTAAGTTCCCAGGAACGTTTCTGATATCCAGTTATAAACCACAAACTCCTGCAATTCTCTGTGTGAAGACAGGGCTGACTCAATGGCAATGGACAGAAAGAGCTTATCCTCTAGGGTGTACTGAAACAAGGAGAGGGAAATGTATTTTAAAGCTAAATAATGTCAGCATAAAAGCTGTTATTTGGAAAAGAATACATAATCCTTACTTAGAAGGCAGAATCTTACACACGGGTTCATAATTAGTTAATCTTACCAAGTTTGCAACCATCAATATTTCCCTCCAGGCCTCTTTCACTAAGTTCCTTCATTATTGATGTAGTCTGGAAAAAGGCTCCTTCCCTAAGGTTTTGTGTGTGTGTGTGTGTGTGTGTGTGTGTGCGCGCGCGCGTGAGCGCACGTGCTCACAGTGACTCAGGAACGAGGTGGAGAGCAAGGCAGGGAGAAAGCGGGTCACATTTGCACATGGGCTCCAGTCTGTACACTCTCAGTGCTGGGCTCGGGACAGGGGACCACCACATGAGCCAGCTGCAGCCCCCTGGGCACCAACCTCTCCTCTATCCTCATCAGCTGGGACTCCAGATGCTGACCTGAGCTTTTCCACCACCTGAGGGCCTGTGTGACCTGCTCCAAGGACCAGACTGGGCCGGTGCATTTTAGCTGTCCGTGGTGCTGGTGCCTCCTTTCTCCTCAGCCACTAGGGCCCTCCCACCTTCCTCTCCCTCAGTGCCTCCACCTGCTCACTCCTCTGCACCCTCAGAGAAGGCTGGGGCTTCCACTGTCCCCTGCAGAGGGGACCACCCCGAGGACTCCCAACTTCTCACATTGCCACCCAAGGCCCCTCCTTTCTGCACAGCATAAGAGTTGTCCATTATGCTCAGAGTTACCTTCGGTCCTATGCCAGCTCTCTCAGCCAGTCCCCCAGCACAGCAAGGACTCCATCTACTTTTTTCTGCCTCCTTCACGACTACCAAGTGCAAGTCACTATAACTGCAACCTGGACCACTGTGCAAGCATCCGATCTGTCTTGCTGCTTCTATGTATGTCTCCTAGAGTTCATTCTTCCACCATAGGGCCAGCGATGGACAGTGGCTTAAAATATGTCCTTGGCTTGCTTTACCATTAAATCACAGCCACACTGCCTTAGGCTCCAAGCTCTGTCCTGTCCCTTCCTCCCCATTCGAGCCCCACTCTTTCCCTGCCCCCTGGGATCCTTACCTGTGTTCTGTGAGCTTCACACCTCAGGATTTGCGTCAGCATCTTCTTCTGTCTGGAATGCTCTTTGCTCAGATCCTAGCTGACTCCATGGCCTTCCTGTCTCAGATTAATCATCACCTCCATAGAAAGACCTTGGTTCACATGCCCTGTGTGTCCAATACTTTCTGTCTTTGACACCAGGAATTTTGTTGTTTGCTTTGAGCATCCTGAACAAACAGCTTTGTGTATAGGGCGAGAAGGTTTAGACCATGCTACTCAGCGCAAGGTCTCACGGATCCTCTTCCCTCAAGAGCACTTGTTACTAGTCAACAATGAGATAAACAAAGACATCCCACCTCGGTCTGTTAGGTTAGTTAACAAGCAACAGAGCAAGTTTATCTGTCACACTAAAAATGTTAAATATCAGCATCCATGGTGTTCATTCAAAGAGAATGTCTAGGAATTTAATAAGGTAATTGGTATTTCCCTTAGAGTTCTACCCTGAGTGTCAATCCCAAACAGCCAAATAATATGTGTATAATAGTGAAGCCTATATTAACTACCAATATACTTTTCATAAATAATGCTACCCATTTTTGCAGTACTGTATTTCCTATACAATGCTTTCTGTGATTGCAGAGATATAATTTCTATGTCTAGTGAACATAATAACTAAGTATCAGAGCTCACATTCTGTGTCCTGGCCTGAACAACCTCTTTCTCCAAAGTCACTTTTGTGTGATTGTTTGGTTTTTTTTTTGGTACCGGGGATCAAACTCAGGACTTTTCCCTTGCAAGGCAGGTGTGGCACCGCTGAGCTAAATCTCTGGCCCACTTTTGTGTGATTCTTGAGCGGGTCTATGTATGGCATTTGGAGCAGGAGGCCTAATTTTGCAGGGTGGGCAGTGGGGCAGCCTCATGGAGACACCTGGCTGGCCTGGTTGCCTCCCACAGCCTCGTTCTACAAGGCAGAGGGGTCATGAGCACTGGGCACCTTGCTGTGAAGGATGAGGCAGAGGCCCAGGAGGAGGAGGGGAACCTCCCACCCTGCCTGGCCTGGCCCAGCCCCAGGGTGCAGGGAGACCAAGATGCTTAAGGCAAAATCAATTCACTTCCCAACTTGCTTGGACAAGGTGTGTTCAGCAAATAGGATGGCTTGCTGCCAAGTTCCTCATCTCAAGGGGATACCAGTGACTGAGCTGCCCATTCTCACCTGTCTCTTCCATGCACACTCCTTTCTGAGGTCTGCAGGCCCAACCCTGGGGATGTCACACCCCTCTTTCCCTCCTGGCCACACCTAATCCATCAGGGACTCTGTGAGTCCCATTTTCAGACTGAATCCAAGGGTCTTGCACTTCTACACCTCTTTCCCATCACCACAGGGCAGGCTGGTGACAGCCGTGGCCTCCCCTGACCCTGTCTCTGCCCTTGCCTCTTTTCACAGAGCTGGGGTATCTGTGTGCAGACGTGCAGATGAGGTCGCTCCACTGCACCCACGTGTCTGCATGAAGCCTCCCACGGGCTTGGGCTTGCACTTCCTGTGGAGGACAGTGAAGCCTGGGATGTAAACCTACAGGGCCTTCACAACCCAGCTCCAGGCTCCCTGCATCTCCTTCTCCTGAGCCCAAGTGCCCCCTACTCTGCCACCCTGGTCCTCAGAGCATGTGGCACCCCACACCACTGTCCAGCAGTGCTCTCCAGCAGAGTTCCCAGTCCCATGCTTCTCTGCTCCTTCCCATGAAGGTCAGATTAGAGCTGTCCTCTACCCCTATGTGGTGTCCTTGCTGATCCCCCATGGTTCCTTTGAACACTGGATCCCTCACCTTTAACACACTCTCTTACTTCCTCACGTGCTAGGTTCCTTGTCTAGAGCCTGCCACCTCCCTCTGCCCATTGTTGCCAGAAACATGGGACCTAGGGGACAGGGGTCATTTTGTCTTGCTCATATTAGGACCCTAAATATTCAGACTCCTGTATAACCCATAGTGGGAGACCAATGGATACTTACCAAATGAGTACCTGCAAATGGACCCTCTGAGAGTGACTGGGTGTCTGCAAGAACTTCCAAAGTTAGGCCCTGGACCTAGGTCCACCATGTTTGTCACAACCCAATATTATTACTATTATTATTTATTTTTATTCATCTATTTTTAAAATTTTTACTTTTATGAATCCATGCTTGCAGTATATAATGTTTGCATTCCTTGTGGGGATTGGTGCATGCACATAACACTCCTTTATTCTTTGCACTTCCTCTTCCTCTCCTTTCCCTCTTCATCTCTCCATCTCTTGGTTCCCTTCCCATCTGCAAAAGATCCATCTCCCTGTTTCCTCTTCTCTTTTATTTTGCTCTTTATTTATACTTTGGGTTTCTCATATCAGATAAATCGTGCGATATTTAAGCTTGTGTGTCTGATTTATTTTCACTTAACATTATGGTCTCAAGGTGCTTCGTTGTACCCCATTTTTAAGCCAGAGTTGACCCAGTCCCCTGTCTTGGGCAGTTAGCTCATGGTACAAGGCTGCTTCAGAGTCACGGAGCACAAGCAGCCCATGACGAGCTCGTTTACTGGGTCAGAGAACAACACACCAGGCAGGATTAGCAAGCACAGCCTGGGAGTTTCCAGGAGTAAGCTGAGCTCACTCGGCTATGTTTCCATAAATAATCCTTCTGTGGAGGCCAGGTAACCAAACTGGACTCTCATAGCTCCCTGGACAATCCAATGACATGAACCCAGACAGGAAATATCATTTTCTCTAATATCACAGCTCCTAAGGCCTCAACACACTTTTGTCACCTTGCATGCTATCTACAGAATCCATATGATAGGTGGAAATTGGTTCAGGGAGGGACTCACAGGGAGGAAGGACATGACTCACCAGGATAAAGACAGTGAAAAATATAACGACAATGGCAGCCGTAATGAACAGCTTCTTCCGGGGGAACACAGCGGCAGGGAGCAGGAAGACTAGCGAAAAGCAGATGGCACCACGCAGGCCTCCATAGGCAATAATGAACTGGTCCTTGAAGGTCAGCGGGATGGTGCGGAACCAATTGATGACCTGAGTCAGGACGAAGACACCTGTGCAGAAAGACAAACCCAGAAGGAAACAGATTATGAGGCCAGGCTGTGCAACAGTTCCACCTGTTTTGTGTACTCCTTTGATGGGGCCAAGTATTGAAGAAGAGGTCCCAAGGCCTGCCCCTTTCCTCCTGTCTGGAAGTACTAGTTGGTGCCAGGGTCTTTGCTGTTATTGCTCCAGGACACCAGGTGAAAATGTGGAAACAGAGAAGCCAGAGGGACTGATTGGATTTGCAGCCAAAGGACGAAAAGTTTATGTCAGGAAGTGGGGAAGAGAGACAGGGAGAAGAAGAGGAAGAGAAAAAAGATAAGGAAGGAGAGGAAGAGGAAAAGAGAGGAAGAAAAGGAAGAGAAAGGAGATAAGCAAGAAAGAGAAAGAAGAGGAGGAGAAAGAAGGAAGAGGAAAGGAAAGAGGAAGAAGAGAAAGGAGATGAGAAAGGAGAAAAGAGGAGAGGGAGGAAGAAGGAGGAGGACAAAGAAAAGGATGAAGGGGAGGAAGGAGATGAAGAAAGAGAATAAAAATGGAGGAGGAAAAGGAAGAGGAAGAAGGATATGAGGAGGAAGAAGAAATAAAGACAAAGCAGCCACTACAGCAAAAGATGGGGGACAGGAAGATGGGCTCCTCACCCAGTGCTCGCCAGATGAGGCAAAAGGCCAGCGTGAAGCAGACGAAGGCCCAGTTCCACTCGTGGTTCTTCCCCACAGTGGACACACCCATGAAGATGAAGATCAGGGTCTCGCTGACGCTGCTTAGCATTTTCATGAAGTACTTGATGGTGGTATAGGACTTCTGGGACACGTTTTCTTCCACGTACTTGTTCATGGTCATTGCGCAAGCAGTGATTCTGAAGGGAAGACACAGCTTCTATGGAGACATGACAAGATTCCAACTGGAACACAACACCAGGCTCCTAGGAGCTAAATGATCATCTACCCACCTGCTCTGGACCACGGCATTGCTCACTGACCTTTGTATGAGCGTCTGACTTGCATGTAAACCTGAGGTGCCTGCTATCTCTCCAAGGCTTCCTCAGCTACTGGGCTCCAGCTCCCTGCTCCACCCATTCCTCCATGCCCTGTGCCCCTCCTCCCAGCGTCACAGGTCTGCACGTCTCCTGGCATCAGCACCATCGCCCTCCTCTCAGTTATACAGGTCCAAAACAAATTTGAAGCCCTGTATCTTCCTATAAAACCAATTCCTTTGCCTACATACACCGTATTATCTAAAAATCCTCAACTATTGCATAAAACCCTAAATTTGAAACAGAGGTCACCCTGGGCGTCCCACCTCCCCGACACACACATGCCCCCAGCATCCTTCTCCATTAACTATGCTATCTCTGTCTTCAGTGCTTCAGATCCCTGAACATCTCTTGAACCCACTCTTTTTTTGTTGTTTTTCTTTTGTTATTGTTGTTGTTGTTTGTTTGTTTATCCCAATGCTTAGTTCTTTTCATTTCTGTTTATCCATCTACTTCTGTGAAATTCAAAATGTGTTTGTAACCTCTGAGAATTCCTAAAGGAAAGAAACTATTCTGCTGGTTTCCCTCTCTATTTATTTCCAAAAAGTCGGGACCACAGAATACTGGATTCTATGTTCATCATATCTGTTTTGATGCAGAACCCTTGCAACCAGGAGAAAGGCCAAATCCTGGGGCCTAAGGTGGACACATATGTCCCTCAGGGACCACTAATACCCTGTCCCCCAGCCTCCCACCCTGGCACAGGCTGCAGGCCTTGGCTCTGTGCAGTTTGCCAAATGTGCCCTGGCTCTTTACTGTCCTCTTGCCTTACCACACACATGGGCTCCCCTCTGGCCCCAACATCCCACCAACCCAGATCCCATCCACAGAGGGAAATTTACTATGAGCCAGGGCACAGCTCACAAGCAGCTGAAGAGCTGTGGTTACTATGAAGTACCCAAAGGACTTCTGAAGCAGAGGTTTTTGCAAAAGGAATTCAGAGGCTGGAATTAACTCGAGCTGCCCCATCCTCCACTCCAAGATAAGGAGCCACAAACCAGAGCTCCAATGACCTTGTGTGCCATTCTCTGCTTGGCCCCACCATGGGGTCCTCTGTCCCCTGAGGCTTCTGCTGTCACTGCAGGAAGTCCTCCTACCAGGAGCAACAGGACAGGTAGAAGGATGCAAACCTGAAGGTCCCCTGAGTTAAGACCTAACAGGTCACCACAATCACATTTCATTGCAGGAATTAGACCTGGGCCTCACATAGAAAATATGTATACTTATTTCTGTGCCTCACATTCAAACAAAACAAAGACTTCACCCAGGCAAGAACTGTGCATGGAGCCACAGTGTCCCTCTAGAACACACAGATCTTTCTTTAAGATTTATGAGTGAAGTACACATAACTGCTGTGGTTTCCCCAAAGAAAAAAAGGCCTTATTAAATGTGCTAATAAAATTCAGCAGTCACAAACACATGGCAAAGCCTCTGACTGGCTGATGGCTTTGGAGACACTGGTCCACATGAACGGTACCTTCTCTGTGTTACCAGTATGGTAACAACACTTTGCAGACTGTGTCACTTCAAACTCATGAGAGATTTACACAGTGAGTTCATCATCATAAATTCCCACTTTTATAAACTAGAGAACGAGGGTGGACACGGGTTCAGTTACTCCAGACTGCACAGCTAATTAAGGTTGTGCGGGGTGTTGTCCAGGCAGCCTGACTCAAAGCCTCACTGTCCTGTCTTAATCACACCTCTGACTCCGACCCTCTTTCCTCCCTCTTCTAAATATTCTTGTGATTTCATCAAGCCCACCTGGATAATCCAGCCTACTCTCTTCATCTCCATCTCCTAATGTAGTCTCATCAGCAAAGTCCCTTTTGCTCCATAAAATAAAAGGTTAGTAATTCTCAGGATTGGGATGTGGACATCTTTGGGGGCCATTGGTTCACTACATTTATGAAAATCTTCATCTTTCGTTTTGGCCTAATTTTTCTTTAGACTTTTACAAAGTAAGATTTTCCCAACACAAAATCATGAGGGCAAAAGCAGATTAAGCTGATTAAGAATCTGAATAGTAACATGTTTTGTAAAGGAAAGACATAAACATTGCATCACAAACCAGTAAGCTTTCCTTAAAACAGAATATTTATAACAAATATAACTTACAATGGCCATACTATTTCTTGGAATTCTCTACTTCTATGCAAAAGATGCTTCACAGGGGCAATGGGAAAGATGCTTTGGAAGTGCAGGGAAGGCAGCCGGAGCTTCTACTGCAAAAGAGGGGACATCTGTCCAAAGTCTTCATTGGTAAATGTGAGCTTACCAATCAGGAGACCAAAGAGGGAATACAATTGTCCCTCAGTATCCCGGGGGGCTGGTCCTAGGAGCCCTGTAAGTACCCACATCTGAGGATGCTCAAGTCCCCTGCATAAAATGCCATGGCATTTGCATGGAACTTAGGCACAACCCCCTATGTACTTTAAACCATCTCTGGACAACTTACAGCACGAAATAAAATGTCAATTATATGTAAATAGCTGTTATACCACATTGCTTAGGAAATAATGACATGAATAAAATAGTCTGTTCATGTTCAGAACAGATGTAGTTTTCTTTTGGAAAGTTTTTGACCTGCAGTTGATTTAAGCTGTGAATATGGTCTATGCAGATACCAAGGCCTGACAGTAATCCAAGAAAAAGAAGCAGGCATGGACTGAGGCATGGAGGAAAGAGAGGTTGGCACATGCAGGGACTGTAGGATGGGTCTGCTAGCTAGAGAACAGAGAGGTGGCCACACTAAGAGCAGACAATGAATGATGTTAGGGTAGGATAATGACACTGGTACACCTAATGCTTAGAAGCTCAAACTTTATTCTACAAGCTAGAGGAGAAAATGAGATATTACAATTTTGATTATATAATTAATCTCTACCTTTGGTTATATAATTATTTCTAATCTCTCTACCTGTATCTCCACTAAGACTCAGCTTTCTATTAGGAAAAAGAAGTGTCTTCCATGCCTAGGACAGTGTCTGGCACACCATTAATGCATTTTCACCAGCAACTGTATGAATTGTTAACAGGAATGGTGGTGGACAGAAGGAGATTTGTATTTTAGAAAGAGAAAACTGAAGGACAAATGGAGGATGGAACTGGAAGGTCCTGAACCAGGGGAATGGAGGGCGTTTGTTTCCTATGATGGTTCATCATTCTACTTTTAAAACCTGTTGTAGCACCTGGCCCATAGACCATCCCTGAATGTCCACGTTTTGATAGGTGTTAGCTCCCTTCTATAGGACCACACGGAGGCTAGCATGTATAGAATTCACTGGTGCATTCTACTTTGTTATTATCTTGCCTCGCTTTAACATAATTGTGGGGTGATTATCACCAATTTAGAGATGGAGAAGTAAAACCACTGTAATTAGTGGTTTTTACATTCACCAGAAATTGAGGTTTTCTTATCCATATATCACTCAAAATACAGCATGGGCAAAAATTAAGCCAGCTAATACCACCTCACCCAAGTCTAGGGGGGAAAACAGACTTTCTATTTAGAGGATCGGTCATGTAGTGATTTTCTGAATAGGAAATTCCACAAATTCCTTCTCTATAGTACTCTGTGACTCCACTGAAGCACCAGAAGGTGTGCTTGGAGATCCCAGGAACCATCTCTGCTCAGTGTGGGCCTCTGTCTGTGGAGGTACCACATTCAAGTTCAATCAATCTCAGCTATGTCCAGGATAAGGAAGGCCCAAACGACAAAGGCTGAATTCTGCTTGTGAAGATTATGCATAAAGCCTATATAAATATAAGGTGCATATATACAAGGAGTGACAAAATATGGTGAAGGTTTCAATTTTTAAAAAACACTTCAGTAAAAGACACATTGTCATTAATCCCCCTCAGAACATTTACCCTCTCTGTGGTTATCCCATCATTCTCGCCACTTTCTTCAGCAGTTCTGGAGTCCCCTTTCATGAATGTCTTTAGTTGCACTGTCCTGGCTGCCTGGATGTCCTGAATTGACTCAAAACTTTTAGCTTTCATGGTCATTTTGACTTTGGGGAAGAGCCAGGAATTACACGGTGCCCGATCTGGTGAAAAAGGTAGATGAGGACACACTGTCATGTTTTTATTTGACAGAAATTGTCATAAATATTACTGATGAGTTCAAGACATTGAGTGAGGCAGCCACAAAAAGACTTGTAAGAACAGACTTCCAGAACTACTTCAGAAAGTGGCAAGTATGGTGGGTTTAAGTATGTTCAAAGTGAGAGACAATGTATTTCTTACTGTAAAAAATTTTTACATTTTTTAAACATTCATCATCATTTTTGATCAGGTCTCATATATATGGTCTGTGTTGACATAGTAAAAAGCCTGTGGCTCTTATTTAGTTTACAAATAAAGATGATTTTTTTGAGTGAAGAGTAGTCAATTCTCTGATTTTTATTTCCACATTAGGAGACACTTCCTGGAACTCGGACTGTTTTGAGGGAGCTGAACTGATAGCAGGTTGCAGAATTCATTTGCTCACATTATCTATCTCTACATGATCTTTAAAGAACATGGATAAAATTACAGGCAAATATAGCCCAAGTAACACAGTCTCAGTCAAAACTTTGCCAAATATGAAGCTGTACTCAGTGCCAATCGTTAGCAGTGAAGACTGACGATTAGAAAGCTTTCTCTCTATTGGTGAAAGCCAGGCCATGCAGCGATGCTGGGTCTACTGCAAGTTCTCAGAATAAAGCATTCACTCATGGGAGCTAAGTTAATTATTCCGTGGCATGGACTCACTGTATAGTGAAGTGCCTCTTCCAGGAAACCTGACAACCAAGAGAAAGTGAGTTTGACATATGAGA